TGTGCTGCTTTGCGCTGACATCATTGTGGTATTTGCCTTAGTTGACAACGACTCTGGAAAACTAGGTTTGTGTGTTTTTTGTTTTGTAAAACAAATTTTTCTTCTGGTCTCCTTCCTTAACTTTTCGTGTTAGGGATTTTTTGTTTTGAGTGGGATTTTCTCAAAATGGCAGAGTTTTGCTTTTAGTTTTTTAGCATGTTCTTTGCCATTTGTAGTTTGTTGTTAATACAAACTCATCAATCTTTTTTAATTTGACAGAAACCTTTTCACAAGCCATGTCTTCAGAGCGAGAATTTGATCTCGTCATTTTTGGCGCAACCGGCTTTACTGGATTCTTTGTTGTTCGTGAACTTTGCCTTTCAATTGCCGAAAAACCAGATGAATACTCGAATTTAAAGTGGGCAGTTGCAGGACGGAATGACAAAAAACTCTCTGAAGTGCTCGCCAAAGTGGGCGCCGAGTTGAGCAAGGACCTCTCTTCAGTGGTGAAGATCGAAGCTGATGTGACTGATGCAAAGTCTCTTGCGGCCATGGCCTCTCGTACCAAGCTGGTGATCAATTGCGTAGGACCTTACCGGTTTTACGGTCGCCAGGTAGTGGAAGCCTGTCTTAACGAGGGCACTCACCACATCGACATCAGTGGTGAACCTCAGTACATTGAGTCTATTCAAGTGGAGTTCAATGCCAAGGCGAAGGAGAAGGACATTCTGGTGGTGTCGACTTGTGGCTGGGACTCTATACCATGTGACTTGGGAGTTGACTTTTTGAAGCGAAAGTTCGATGGCAAGCTGCATCACGTGGAAACTTTCATGGCTACACGGCCTGGACCAGAGGTAACACTGTATTTAATTTAAAAACGATTAACACTAAATCTAACACTGCTTTTCACACTAAAAGGGCTATGTTGTCAACTTTGGGACTCTTCAATCGGCAATCTATGGATTCGCTCATTCGGACGAGCTGCGAACTATCCGCCGTCGCCTCTACAGTGAAGTGCTCACCAAGAGCCTGCCTCGAAGTCGCATCCGCTTAGAGCGAATTAAGCTTCCCTTCACAAGGCCCAATTTGCCTGGGTGGAACATGGAGTTTCCTGGATCAGATCGATCTGTAGTCCAGCGAACGCAGTACTACAACTTTCAGCACTTCAAAGAGCGCCCGGTCCAGATTCAAACCTACTTCTCTGTGCCATCTTTCCCATACGTGGTGGGCACCGTTTTCATGGCCATGATTTTTGCTCTGCTCTCATTGTTTGACGCCGGTCGGCGATTGCTAGAAAACTACCCTGAAGTCTTGACTTTTGGGGTCTTCAGCAAAAAAGGCCCGAGTCGGGCACAGATTAACTCCACCAAGTTCAACCTCACGATCATTGGCAAAGGGTGGAGCAATGAAGCAGGCGCTGAGAAGGACAATTCTGAAGGTGAGCCTGATGGAGAGTTAGACAAGACTCAGACTGTCCTGGTCACCGGAAGAGACCCCGGCTACCAGGCCACTTCAACTTGCATTGTTCAGTCTGGTCTGACCATTCTTAAGGACCGTAACCTGATGCCCAAGTAAGTTCAGGAGTGTTTTTGTTGCATATTATGGTTATACTAAAAAAAACTGTACCCATTTCAGAGGAGGAGTTCTCACTCCAGCTTCGGCTTTCCGAGACACCAAACTGATGGATCGTTTGCAGTCACGAGAACTAACATTTCAAGTTAAATCCGATAATTGAGCAGCTTCTCTCTCGTAATAATCAGTTATAAAGGGCTGCTATGCACTGAACAAGAGTCATTTGTCTCTTATTTATACTTTCACTTTTAAAAAATCCTTTACGCAGCTCATCTTCAAAAGTTGTTGATTTAATTTTCCTTTTACGAATAAAGATATACAAAATTATCGTTTGATTTTAGAAATCAATGTCCGGTGCAATTGAATTATTACTGTCTTCGACACACTTTGACCCCCAACTTGCTGCACAATTTTTAAGTTTTGAGCCCAAAACCAACGACCTGACTTGTCTGTACTTGGCCCGAATTCGTATCAGCTTCTGCTTCACATCGTCATCCTCTTTGATGTGCTTCGTGTCACTCGGAAAAGCACTGCACATCTCCAAGAGAGTCTTCAGTGCAGTCACTTTTCTCGAGGTAGCAGCGTCCATCACCGGTGTTTGCTCTAGAATGACAGTCCAGGTTCGTGTAAAGCCTTCATAGTAGCCCATCTCGCTTGACAGCTGAGCACCTTGTCGTAGGCCAGTAATGTATCCGTCTCGCCAACCGTCCGCTTCGCCAGCGGCAATTCCACGCGACACACCTAAGTGGTGGTACTGATTAGATACTCCCGTCGACGGATCATCGGCAAATGGATCAAGTGGAGATGTCTCGGTGTCCAAACTCTGGGTCTCCATGCTGAAAGACTTCTCATCTACTGCAAAGAGAAAATGCGCGTCCTCGTGGTGTTGTAGCTTGTTTACAGTGCGTAGAGATTTCGTCGTAGTGGCATAAAGGTCAGGTAGCGACCACTCTGCCGGCAAAACTCCATCGTTTAGTCAGTTGTCAGCACTCAATTGGTCTCAACGGATCTACCCATCACCTGCAAATACCTTCGCAAATGTCACAACCAATTAAAATCCAAAGTTAATTAGCATAGATGAAAATTGTTTAATTTTTTTGCAAGTTTTACAAATGAGAATAATGAATAAATAACATGAATATTTAAAACAAAAATGACTGGGTGTTTTTCATTGCAGCTGCACCAGCACTTGGTCACCAAGTACAGTATCCCCTACTTTGCAGTTTATTTCGCACACCTTTCCCGATTGGGTGGCACTAATAATTATACTCATCTTCATGGCCTCTATAACGCACAACTCCTGCTCTTCATTGACCTGGTCACCGATTTGACAGGACACCGACTTGACGAGGCCAAACAAGGGCGACTGAATGATCTTACTGGCATCCGGTTTCTGCTTGACAGGCATTCGTTTCATGTACTTGACCGTCTTCTCATCGAGAACGCGAACTTTAAACTGCAAAGTAAACAAGTGATTACTGTTAGGGCTTGCCGACCATGTTTGTTTGATCATCACTTACTACTGTGCCTTCAAACTGAATCAACAGACGACCGTCACCGTCGATGGACATGATCTGAACAATTTTTTTCTCATTGCCAATAGGAATTTCAAGCGTCAGGGCGCCTAAAGATAGCTCTTTGGGTACTTCTACCTCGTAATCGCCACCATTTACTTGCACCAGGTATTTGTCGCCATTAACGCGCACTCGAGCGGAAAGCATGTCCTGCAAGTTGAGGCTATCATTGCCGCTGAAATCGATGAACAAGTTGGCTGTCGGTTTGGCTTGTGACAGGTGCTGGAACAGCCCTGGAACAGGGTGCATAGGTGTGTCGGTGTAAGGAAACCGCCTTTCAAAGTAGTTGGGAATAGAGTTTAGCGTCTGCAGTGAAGAGGAGCCCTTTGATCGGGCCTCTTCGCGCAGGTAAATGGCCGAGGCAATGGACGCCAGCTGGTAGACCTGCTCTTTGGAAGTCATTCTTCGACCTTTGAATCGCTCTCCGTAGACTGCAGGCAAGTAACTAGTGTTCAGTCGACCTGAGACAAAGTTCTCCTCAGTGATAATGTCCCGCAGCAGGGGAATATTGTGCGTCAGGCCTCGAATCACATAGCTGTCCAGTGCGTCTTTCATTGTGTGCAGCGCCTCTGCTCGCGTTTCCCCGTAGCTTATGAGTTTGCAGATCATCGGGTCGTAGTAGATGGAGATCTCCGAGCCCTCTGTCACGCCCGAGTCACAGCGAACATTGGGTATGTGCACTGGCTCTTGGTAGCGCGTCAGTCGGCCCACGGAGGGCAGGCCAAAGTTCTTCTTGTACGGGTTTTCTGCGTACACGCGCGACTCGACGGCCCATCCTCGGATTTGGACGTCTTTCTGGGCGTGCTTCAAGGGGTGGCCTTTGGCAATGCGCAACATCTGATGAACTAAATCAATGCCGGTAATGTACTCGGTAATCGGGTGTTCTACTTGCAGCCTAGAAGAATGAAAAGTTTATGACATGGTTGGTCATTCAATCGCCTAGCACCTTCTCCTACCTCGTGTTCATCTCAAGAAAGTAAAAGTTCTTGTGCTTGTCAACGAGAAACTCCACTGTTCCTGCCGAGTCATAACCAACACTGTGCGCCAGCTCTACGGCCTGATTGCCCATCGCAGCTCGGAGAGCGGCGTCGACATAGGTGCTGGGCGCCTCTTCAATGACCTTCTGGTTGCGTCGCTGAATGGAGCACTCGCGCTCATTGAGAAAGATGCCATTGCCGTGCTTATCGCAAAGCACCTGCACCTCAATGTGCCTCGGCTCTTCGATGAACTTCTCAATCAGAAGTCGGTCATCGTTGAAGCTGGAAGCTGCTTCGTCTTTGGAGAACCGATAACCGTCAAAAACTTCGCTATCGTTGGCGGCAATTCGCATGCCCTTGCCGCCACCGCCTGCCGAGGCTTTGATCATCACCGGGTAGCCAATCTGGCGTGCCAACTCTACGCAGTGCTCAGCATCGCGAACCGTTCCATCGTAGCCGGGAATTGTGTTTACGCCTGCTTTCTTCGCAATCAGCTTGCTCTCGATCTTATCGCCCATCGCACGAATGGACTCTGAGTTTGGGCCGATAAAGGCGACGCCCAAGTCTTGCAGCTGCTTTGCGAAAGCGGTGTTCTCCGAAAGAAAGCCATAACCTGGATGAACGGCTTCGGCGCCACTCTGGCGAATCGCCTCCACAATGGCCTCAACGTTGAGATATGATTCACGTGAAGGCGCCGGTCCAACGCAGTACGACTCGTCTGCTTCCTGTACGTGCAGAGAGCGGGCATCAATTTCGCTGTATATGGCGACCGTCTTGACGCCCATGGCACGACATGTTCGAATGATGCGACAGGCAATTTCACCGCGGTTTGCTATTAAAACTTTGGCAAATTTCTAACATGGGTAAAGCAGTGTTTTAGTTTCAGTGAAGATATTTTTAACTT